AAAAACCCCACCCCAAAACACTGTACAACAGCGTACAAAGAAGTTAGAGAGGAAACTCTGATCCATCTCCTGGCGCATCCTGCAGTAGGGTGGTGATTAAATTACACAATGCTGAAGGAAAAAGAAGTTCAACCGATTTAGAATAGTGAAGAACTTAGTTAAATATGTAATTTCTTTACAGGATAGAGAAACCTTCAGCAAAAGTCTTCACAACCTGGGGGAGGAAGGTATACACAACATGTGTGGAAGGAAAGGGATTCCTTAGCCCAGAAACTGAAACACAAAAATTAATGCACATTCAAAACGAAATCTCACAGAATCTCAAACAGATCCCACTTCATTTTACTCTCCTCTCCACTTACAATATTCACAAAGAAAATGTGAACAAAACTCACTAACTTTTGTGAGAGCCAGGGAACTGACTCCAAATTTGAAAAAGAAAGAAAAAGAAGAAAATAAAAAGTTGTGGAGGGAAAAAGATCAATAGTTACATCCCATGAGAAGAGCAGCAACAAAATACTTCTATTCATCCAGATACCAAGGGAACAGCCTCATTTATCCGTGGCTATCACTCTGCAGCAGCAGAAAGTAGGAGTTAGGTTTCCTTAACACTGATTCCTCGGGCAATCTTGACTGAAGGTTTTCTAAAGTGAGTGTTAAGATAAAATGCAAGAGTTACCAGTAAAGATGAGGAGAAAACTGGTATCTTTAAAGAACATTTTGAAGTGCTTTTTTACCTATACTCAAATAGAGCATCAAGTTGTTTTGAGGTTTTCTTCTCATGCTGAACCCAGGTGGTGTCATAAAGGCACACAAACAAAGGGTCTTAATTTCTGTTCTGCATTTGTCATGGTAATTAATGAGAGTTCAACATGGCAAAAGGTAGCAAGTTCTTGATGTGCAGCATAGACAAGCAGAAGTTACAAATATCACATAGCACTGAGCAGCACAGGTGATTCCAGAATCAAAGAGAATCAGTTCTCCTCCAGCTTATCACCTTTTTAGCTTCTTGTGAGGCACAAAGTACTATCAAGTTGATTCCTCACAACTCTAAATTTACCTTATGCTATACATGCAATCCTGTTCAAAATTAGAGAAAAATGGACCTCAGCATATTTATTAGTCCCATCATTTTTCAGGAGACATTCATCTTAGGAGAGATGGGTGTATGTGTTCAGAAAAAAGTAAGATTACCAAGATGTTTTATTCACTTTTTGCAGGCTGCTATGAGTGACAGTTACAGGATTAAGCCACCATGAGAATTTACCTTATCACAAAAGAGCTTGACAGAATCAAATGGTAAGTATCACCTCCTCAATGCTCCAGCCACCCCATGATTCACCTACATCTATTGGATTATCCCACTCTTTTCTGTTAGTTTTGCCTCAGAATGCTGTTCACACCCCTATCAGTTTCTTTTCAATGCCTCCAACCCAAAGCTGCCATTCCAAGTTAACACAAATCGGCTTCAAATGTTTTAAATTACTTTGACTTTAAAGCAGATAAATAGTATTTCAACATGACATCCTAAATAAATCTAACTGGAAAAATTCTATAGTAGGACCCACAGCTGGTCTGTGGGTTAGAGAGGGTTAATGAATGAGGTTTGTTTTGAGAACTATTCTCTGACCAAGGCTGTTGGCCTGGAGACCAAGAAGAGAAGAAGATAAGCAAGAAGAAACCTATGTGGGGAAAAATATTTTTAGAAAAGTTTTATGTAAAATTGAGGCGTAGACGGCTTTACACCAATCAATGTTATGTTGGCTAATTGTGACCAATGAAGAAAGTGTAAACTTCAAAGACAGCTAGCTGTTGTAATAAATGGGATGTTAGCCTTCTGAGATGTTGTGTGTCTATTTGTGTGTCATGCCCACCCCTACAGTGACAAAATTCCAGCAAAACTGGATTATTACAGGGCAGGTGGGAGTGAGGCAGGGAAGCTAGGCACTTCAAAAACAAGTTTTCTGAAGTTCTAAATGGAATTTCTAATCAAAAGGGACGTGTCAAGACAGGGAACACCTCAAGAATGACCAGGACTCCATGGTGAAGTATGGAGTATGAAGTATTGACCATATGAAACAGGGTTGAAGCAATCTGGATATTAGATGGTTGCCCTTTAAACCTCTCCAGGCTGGTGGTAAAACAAACTTAACTGAAGCTTTTTAAAGAACGAGTAGAAGAGGCTAGAAATTGCTGTACATACTCGTATTCATGCAAATGCATATTACCAGCTCTGAAACTCACCTAGTATAGCAACGACTTCATCATCCTGGATTACCTCCAGAGAGCCCGAGACCACGAAGCACAGGCTGTCGACGCTCTCCCCGGCGTGGTAGATGAGGTCTCCTGGAGCACAGTGCACGGTCTGGAATTCCATGGCCAGAGCCCGCAGGCAGCCGTCGCTCGCCAGCCGGAAGGCGGGATGCTCCTTGAACACCTTGCGGTTCAGGTGCACACAGATGTCTGCTCTCATGTCCTTGGGGCAAATCTGCAAAACCTGACGGGGAAAGCGGGCAATCAGCTCCTGTGCATGGCTTCTACGTGCCTGCTGTGGCTAGTTCATCACACAAGGTTTAAGAACTGCATTCCTCCACCTTATAAAACTTCTAATCTCAGAGTGCAGGTTTATTTTTATATTATTTATCCACATAAGCCACAATACTAACTTTATAACATCTACTTTATAACATCTGAAAGAAAACACTGTTTTCATCTCAGCAACATGCTCTGCTGGATATTGAATTACCAGAAGGCCTAAGGTTTTTAAGACAATAAAACTTAGAGCACAGCAGTACAACACTTTCTAGTGTTGAAGAAAAGCTTCGTGAAGAATTGTTTCTAGAGGGTAGGTCATTTTTTTGATAGGCAGATTCCATGAAAAGCCTGCACAAGTTATATGCTTTAACAACCAAAACAAATTATTTAAAATTTAATTAACTCCTAACATTGAGAATTGTAAGTATCCGAATTTACCCCTCAGTGGCACTGACAAGTTTTTTGTTTACACAGGGAAGGGACTTGAATGTATGATGTTGTTTTGGGCAGTTTTTGATGTTCCAAATGCAATGCTCCTCACAGCAATTCATGATGTGAGCTCCTAAGAGAGCACGAGCTGATGCTCAGCACAGCGGGTACCAGCCAGGGCCATTTCTGAAGGGTTTTAATATAACACAGACAGCAGAGTGGAAAGAATACAAAATCACTGCTGCATGTACAGACTAAAGGTGGAAAGAAGTAACATGAACAGGGCTTGGGGATAACAAAATCCTTGGGGGATGGTCTATGATGAAGTACATCTAGGACACATTATTTGAGAAAAACACTGAGCAGTCTCAGTCTACCTTTTTTTTTTTTTCCTATTTTCTTAGTAATAATTATTCCATCTAACTAAGGAATGCTCTGGTTGAGCTTCAGAGTTACTCCCACACATTTTCCTAGATGGAAAGAGAAGACTGTCTCACTGCAAATACTCCTGAAAAACATAAAGGTAACACAGGAACTACTATGGTTATGCCTACACTTTGAAATTATGTTCTCTGCAAGATCTGAGCAGAGAACCAAGCTCTTAATTCTGTGCATGGCACTGGTTCCAGATATCATGCTTGGTACTCCAAAAACAAGTGGCTCCACCACCAATATCATCACCTTTGGCCCACCTCCAGACAGACATTTTATTACAGATATTACTTCTAAAAAGAGATGTATTTCTATAGTACTTAGGTGTAGGGCACTCATGGATGATTTTTCTTGGCTGCCCTGTACAGAAGCACTGCCAAACCTGCCAGTTCTCAGTTTTCAAGGCTCACAGAAATGGGCTGGGGCAGCAAGAGCAGCATTTAACATGGAACACAGGCAGCAGCCATATCTGTCTTTTCCATGATCTCATTTACTCTGGCAACAAAAATATTCTCTAGTGGCATATTCTTGCCAAATTTTACTACTGGAATTACACACACATGCAGTTACCTGAATATCACATACAAAAAGGGTTGTTGTAATAGAAATAGTAGCAAAAAGCCCTAAATATACAAGCAAATATTTAAAATTACGCTGTTATCCAAAAACCTTTTGGTTTAGCAGTCTTAAGAGCAAGTTAACTAATTTTCCATTCTCTATTTAAAGAAGTCATCTCCAGACTTCACAGAAAATGAAAGGGATTAAAGACAGATAAATGGAAGAAGACTTTCATTTGTATGGGAGGTAAGAAATATATCTTCATGCATCAATTTTAGAATCTTTCAGCAGCTCTTGGTTAAATTTTGTTGTACTGGCATTTTCTGGACAATAACATAGCATGTCTGCAGTGAACACAGACGAATTTGTGGCCTACAAAATAGTGATAGGGCCAGTTCTGTGTTCAGTTCATATTTAAGTCTCTACCTCATTTGTAGGAAGGAAGCTGTGCTGTGTTTCAGAAGAGCACAACCACCACTGCTCTGTCTCATGAGCAATACATGTTTTATTCATGACAAGACATCCCAGAAGTTTTACACAGGCATCAAAACAACAGAGCTTAGACCTGGGAGTTTATGGATTGGCACAGCCAGCCACAGCTTTTGCTGTGCAGATGAAAGCTGAGTTTTTGGCTTAGCACTCATGGCCAGCAGCAGTTCAGCTATGAACACACCAGTTACTGAAAAAGCACTGTGTTAAGCTCTTTGGTGTCCTGACAATTGGAGACTTTTTTCCTGTTCATTAAGATAATTCTCAAAGGCTACACTGGGTATTGTTGTGCTTGGCTTGGTTATTCTGCTGTCTCCAAATGCATCCTTGAAGCATTCCTCTCTTTATAAAGGAAGCCAAGAATGAACTTTGAAGATAAGCTAAAAAAAAAAAAAAATCCAAACCATGTTTTACATAGCAATTTTTTTTCTTGTTGTTTTGTTAAAATGATGACAGGAGTTTGTAATGGGGGCTGAATGAAGCACCAGCACTCATAACACTACGTATCCTCAGATGTCTCCCCACCTTCCCCAAATGCACCTACCTCAAATCACAACCCCACACAAAGACAGATAGTGAGAAAACATGCAGAACAGCTTCTAACCAGTGCTATCCAGCACTAAAATACCATTTCTTTCTGAAAGCTAGTGTGGCAGACAGTGCTTACAGAATCATGTCTGGGATCTAAAAATGGCAGATATGCTGAAGACCATTTAGGAAAGCAAACAGTGTCCTGCATGCCCTTCAGTCTCCAGGCAGCTCAGTGCAAGGCCACATCTGTTCTACTCCTTCGTAATGATGCTTTAACAGCTGTACAGAAATGACACTGTTTGCTCTTTAACTGCATCATCCACAGTTCAGAATACTAAACTAAGCTGCCAACCAGAAGGCTGGTGACCAGAGCATTGCTATGATTTCCTGAATGATCCACCCCACACATCACATCTCTTTACAAGCAGAAGAAAAACCGTCTATCTCTACAAAAACTGGCAGCTAATATGAAAGTGACAAGGAGTTACTTTTGTATATTTGTTCTGGTGAAAGGCCATCTGTTTTTTAAAAGATACAATGGGAATTTATTTGTAAATTCAATGAATCAGAATGAAAACATCTGCCTTACATAAGGCAGATTTCAAGCAATACATTATTAAATACTTCCAGTTTTCATTAAAGTCCTTAACCTGCACACAGAATATTGCATTCAAATTCTCTAATGACAAAAACTACTTTGTTTTCAGGCCCACAGAGCTGCAAGCAACCTCACAAGAAATATTGCAAAAAAAAATCTCATTTGGAAAAACTGTGAGGTTGTGTTACAATCCGGAACTTGTTATTTACTTATCACCTTTATTTATTGAAAACTGAGCTTTTTCCTTTATTATTTTTACACTATTTCATGTCATTTCACTAGCAAAGCATACATACTTTTACCACTATCATATGTCAGTATGATAGAATAGCTGAAATACTGTATTTGAAAGTTTAAAATTAAGGGAAGTTGCTGCTTAGAACTATTTAAAGAATATTTGTCTCCTTTACTAAGACAGTACCTCCTGTTTATTTTAATGGACTACTTTCAGGATGTGACTTCTTTCCTTGCAGTTTAATTTACTTACCTTTTCAGTATCTATTCCTCTGGACATTGACCAGGTGGAAACGATGTAATCCATCACACGTTCACTCAGTCCTTTAGGGACCTGGTAGAGCTTTAAAAAGTCCCGGACACTGTTCAGCATTTCATGGTATCTGTTTGTGTTAGCATACATTTGCTGAAATATGGTTGTCACATTACCAAAAATGGTGGCATACAGAAGGGCTGTGAAAAAAGAAGAAAAACCACAGAGAAAATACACGGTAAGGTGTGGTGATAAGTCTGTTTCACTGGGCTTTAAGACTGGAAATGCTAGGTCATAAAAACGCATGCAAATATTGGTGATTTATTAGGAAGGTTGATGAGCACAAGCTTTTTATAGGTCACCTTCAGCACTACAAATTGAGGACCAGCACCTACTTCTGTGATAGCATGTCCTGCATCACAGAGCTCCCAATATATCACTGTTTGTCCATCAAACAATTCAGCAGTACCCAAAACCTTACAAAACCACAACAGCAGACAGAAGAATTTTAGGATAAATAGCTTGACAGCGAATACTTTAATTTTTCATCTCAGGTTTATAGCACCTGTGTTGAAATACCATGAGTGACAGATTTCCAGGCTTTAAGTGCATTATCACAGTAGTAAGCTGAATCATCATTACCCACCTCGGTGTGACAAAGCAGAAGATGGAATGTGTAATAAACAGCTACCATGGGTCAGTAATTTATAAACTAAGTTTAATAATACATAAAAACTCGCATTACATTTTATATTCTTCAGGCAAAAGAACAGCAGGGCTGAGGCAAGAGGTAGAGCCCTCAGAGGCAGACCTTTGCACAGCCCTCATGACTTCACACAACACAGTTATGAAGCCAGCTGGTTCATCAAGGTGAGTTTAAGAATAAACACAAGGAAGAGAAAAAGGCAGTGTGTTCCAAGTGTGGAGAGAAGCAGATGAAAACACACAGGACTTGAGAAGATCCATCTGCTGAAGCCCAGGACAGAACAGCAGGCTGGTGGCAGCCAGGTTTGATAGCTTGCAGAGGCTGAGACTCTCCCAGCCAATCCTGCCCTGAATGAAATGGAGAGATAGGAAGGCTCAAGGGGAGCTTTCCTCTGTTGTGAATCAGGTCAGTGATATGTTACAGGTTGGCTTTAGAGGGAGAGGAACAGTCAGACTGCAGATGTGATGATAACCACCCTTAAGTGCTCTGGCTTGCTGAATAAGTTCTTCTTAATCATTTCCTGTCCCCCAAAACAAGCACTAAATTGTGAGTATCATGTCTCTTCCACTTGAGATAAAAATAAATCAATCAGAAGCCATATTTTTAAAAAATATATTGTGCCTTACTGAAAAACCCCCTTTTTGCTGTTTATTTACTCCCTCATCAGCTATTAAAAAAATCTTCAAACCACTCCTTCCTTTGAGAATGCAGCTATTTATTCAGGTGAGTGTTATAGGCAGATATCCTTAAGCCAACTAAGATGCTCTAGGATTCTATGACCAACAAAAACCTTTGATACTGCAAAACAAACTCATGGGACAGTCTTTGCCTTAATCATCAAGAGATGTAATTTAAGTTTAGGTTTGCTCAAGGCCTTTACACTGCTGATTTTCTGTTGAATCCCTTCCTGATGCTGCATGACTTCTTTTTATGAGTTTCTGTAGCGAACAGCTCTCCCTTTTTCCATCTACTCATCTGTACAAACAGGTAAAAAAATGTGCAGAAAAATGTGCACACTCAGTTTAAAGGAAAGTGTAGATCATTAATACAGTGACCAGAAACACATTTTCCCTGTTTAACCTTAACTTGTGCCTGAACAAAACCATACCAGGCAGCCCGATGAGTAGTGAAGAATGATAAAATGCTTTACAAAACAGATTTACCACAACAGCTCCTTAATCCATGAGTATTTTTGTATTAGATCAGCATTACCTGTCCCAAATAAGTCCTGGTTTGCTCTCTTGTTAAACAAAATGCAAACATGACCCTACAGGAGACTGCAGCAGCACAAGGCAGCCAGCACAGCACTGAAATAGGTGACAAATTAGAGAGGGTGGTAATCTGTAGATTTCTTGACAACACCACTTGTGTCCATACAACTCTCTTTGCTCTCTGGCCAAGTGAGACCTGGGGGTTCAGTACCTTGGCACATAGAGCTTCATGCCAGCAAAGGTACAATGGGGTCCCCACTCTGTCCCATTAATGTCCAGCTACATAAAACTTGAAGAAAAAACAGAAGTCTAATCAGATATTTTGATTATTATGAAGCAAGCAATTTCCACTGCAAATTGCAGCTCCAGTATGACAATTATCTTGGCAAGAAAACTTATTCCTGCCTAGATTAATTTTTTTACATTCTCACACTTACAATATTTCATTTATCATTAGCTAACCATTTTATTACTATTAAAGACACATTAAAGCCAAGGATTTTTGCGGCCTAATATTGGGTAGATACATTAGCATATTAAACCTTGAACTCTTCTGCACAGAAGTAGCTGGCTGTGTGCCTTTCCTTCCTTTCAAAGGAATAATGAAATGAACCCACTGCAGTAGACTGCAGCCCCAGAATGATTTCAGAAACACACACTCTACTAAAGGAAGAAAGTTGGGCTATTAATGACAGAGCAAAATCTCCAGCATTTTCCTCTCCAGGAATGTCAAGAACCCTCAGAACTGATATAGACCTCACCCCCTGACATTAATATTCTTTTCTGAGAATAAAGAAAAACATGTTGTCCCCAACAATGTGGGTGCTCATTTACACTGCAGTCTGTGATACTCCATTTAAACCAGTTCTATCACAGATAGGACCACAGTAATTGCAGTAGCAAATTGCCCACAAGTGAATCATGAAGGTCAGACACAGGTCACAAAATCATCTGCTATTTTTAGTGATGTAACAAGCAAGAATAGAGAAATAAATACAAGCCAGTGCAGGCCTCAGCTACCAGTAAAAGATCTCGGGTCTGATTTTAGAATGATAAGAGGAAGAATTTCTCTCTGTAAGAATGAGAGGTTTACAATTACCCCAATTACAGATGTAAGTGCTGCATTTGGTTCCTGAGCTGAATCAGAGATTGATGATGATTTGTTCAAAACGCACTCATCCAATGCCCTGGCACACAAAATGTGTGCACAACTACACAGCAACAAGTGAGACCAACATCAACTAGTGAGCAATCTCTTATATCTTGCCCCCAAGAACTTGCAGTGCTTTCTGAAAATGAACTGCCTTCATTTTTGCTGTCTGGGAAGCTGAGTGAGATTGTCTGTCTATCTGCATGTAAATTCCACTCAACAGTTAAAAAATCAAAATAAATCCCTTTTACATACTGCACTAACCAAAGTACTATTCAAAGAGCAAGCACCTGCATTTGCAAATAGTAGATGATTTAAATGTATAATTGCACTTTTGTTTCACCAACAAGTTCCTAGTATACAACAAATTATTCAGTTCATAGATGGCTGAAAGCACAGCCTTGAAATATCTGTTGCACTGTATCACTTCTTACTGAATATGAAACACAATTGTAAATTAACCAGAAAAACTGCATGTCTCAAAGGCATTTTTCAGATAACACGTTCTGAGGTCACACAAAATTAACATTGATCAGATAAAAAGAAAGGCGGAAATTAATTGTATGGATCATCTCATAATTATACGAGAAAATGATATTATTTTCAAATGTGCAATTAGAACAATGTAAGAGCTTATAATTGCTTGAGATTAGGGGTCTTGATTAGTGGTAATTATGCTTACTTATGGGTAGAGAGCATGCAGTTAAAAGAAAAACACTGAACTGTTAAATACAATATGCAAGCAAATACCAAACTGAACAGGTATCGTAGAGAATTGTTTACAGAATTAGTTTTGATAGAATTGTTATTTGTAGTCTTGCAATCTGATATCAAAGCTTCTAAAGCAAGATGTACTTATCAAGTATCTACACAACCTTCTAGAACAGTACAGACAGACCCAGAGCTGCTTAATTTCCCACTTCTTAGGAAGCTTTGTGTATTATAAAGTTTCCCATTTGTAATCTTTTATCTTTTTGCTTTTTTACTAACACAGTGTATAAGGATGTAACTCCATTTAGTCTACTAAAGAATAAATGTAAACAACTTAGCCAAAATCTAATAGGTAATTAATGCTCTGCATTTCATGACTTTTCATAATATTAATCCAGAACATTTTCACCTGCTATAAAACAAATTACAATTGCTAGTCTTAGCATGTACATCACTTCCTGAATTTCACAACCTGGGTAAAAGACATTTTTTTAAGTGAAAGTAAATTCCCAGAGGAGCTCTCCCCCATGCTGTCCCAGCAACTGTTAAATCCTGCTCTTCCCACAGCTCTCTGTTCTCCTGGACTGAAACAATACACTGCTCCACCTCCCTCTTTCATGCCACCAGCTTCTAATTTGCACCTCTGAAGCGAGGCAGCAGCAATGGCAAAGATCAGAGAACTGGCACATTACTGAGCAAGTCTGAAAATCAATTTAATGGCAGAAAGCAAAGCAGAAAGCCTGAATAGGCCATGAGGGACATGCACATCAAACCATGTGGCGCAAGCACTTGACTTCTAGGATGAAAGATGAGAGACCACAGGCAAATTTTATTAAACTCTTCATTGAATCCTACTGCAAATCTTCCCACTCTCATCATGACATTTGGTGAAATCACCCTGCTGGCAGTAAAATTGGGACAAAGAAGGGCAACAGTGGGTTCCAGCTACAATGGAAATGTCTCCTCTGCAGAATGGTAGGATACCAGTGAGGACACAATTGATAAAGGCTAAACAACAGAGCATCAGCACATGGGGGGGGTTTTCATCTTCCCATCACCAAAAAAATGCAAGAACTGCAATGAAATGAACGTCAGAGACATAAACAAGGGAACAGCTGCTCTGAGAAGCCACTTAAGCAACTACCAAGGACTAGAGTAGTAGAAACATCTGTGCACCTTAAAATAGGCTGTCTGCAGCATGTAAGGGCAGGAAGGGAAGTTAAGAACAGATATGGAACAAACACCACAAGCAGCTCCCGCTGCTTCTCTCCTCACACTCTTCCCTAACTCTACAGAACAAAAGCAGCCTGCTACTACAGCAGCACAGCCATATACCCTCCTGTTATCTCATTGATTTGCAACGATTTACATTTTGCCAGTTTAAGACTTAATATGAAAGAACAGAGGCAAGTGTTGGTAAAC